AGCTCAAATGAAAGAGTTTTAATTTTGGAGCGATTTTCGTTCAAGTAGCTTTGCAGGAATTCCAGTCAGCAACACTACAAGTTTGCCTTGCTTTGTGTAGCAGAGAATCTCTTTTACGAAGCACACGTAATATACCCTCAGTCATCCAGGGAGCTTGATTCTGTTTAACTACTTTTTTGACCAGTCTCCACGGACCGTGAGTATCAAGGATACTATTAAACAAATTCTCCCAGGCATTCAGAAGATGATTTATATCATCGAAAACMAATACGGAGCTCCATGGTACATCCTTTAGATCAGAAAAAAAGGCAGATTTGTCGAAACGCTTCATGTTGCGAAATTCAATTGTTCGTGGGATTTTAGGATGATTGGATGTGTCTTTATTCAAACGAACTCCAAATACTGGTAGGTGATAGTCCGATAGTCCATTAATCTTGACTACAAAAAATTGTATTCTAGCTCTTTGGGAAGTTAGATAATACAAGGTCGAGACACGTTCCGCTTATATTTTTGAATTCTATTTTTCGAGCCTTTTCTGCCTACAGATTCAGGCAGTCAGGAAAAAAACACTCCTAACCATCCTATGTGCAAAACACTTGGTTTAATTACCTGACACTAGAAGCTACTGATATTCTTCCATTTCTTTTGATAGTGAGAGTAACATTAGGTGATCCAGTACCTTCAGTCATCGATAACTCAGTAACGTTCGTCAGATAAAAGGTATCTAGAATAAATGAACGTTATTAGTTATCTTGGGTTTGATTTATTGCTGCTTAAAAACATTAAATAACAAAGGTAAATGAGTTAAATAATAATAATAATAATAATAATAATAATAATAATAATAATAATGCCAATCTGGAGATGAGAGTATTGCACACATCATGTGCAAATGCTCGGCCATAGCTCAATCGCTCTACACATCAAGACATGATCACATGCTTAGACCTGTGTATCACGCGATACTTGAGAAGTTTGAACTTTCTGATGATAAAGTCAACGTAACACCTTGGCACAAAGAACCACCCCCAAAGAGCTCTGTCCAAAATGATAAAGCAAAAGTACTGTGGAATATCCAAATCTAGCAAGACAGCCCACCAAAAGGCGGTGCAAATAAACCAGACATTCTTGTGCGGAACAAGAATGACAAGCAATGGATTATATTTGAAGGAAAAGTCTGTAATGTAGGAAAGATACTGACAGGGATAAAAAGAAAACTGTTAAATATACTGACTTAAGATCTAGTCTTAAAAGAATGTACCCTGGATATAAAGTAACGCAAGTCAACGCAGTATTTGACTTTCTATSTGGGTACCACACGGATTTGCTGATTAGTAACTGGCAGATGTAGGCCTCACTGAAGGTCTAAAAATTGTGAGAAAGTGTCAGAAATGGGTT